GGGTGGCAGTTGTGTTAGTAAGGCAGGACCTGATCTACAAGACTGGATTGTGTCCTGAGGCAATCTCTTGAGATATAAAAGACAGGAGTGAGCAGAGAGACGGGGGGACTTCATACCATCAAGAAAGCAGTGCCAGAAGCAGAGCGCATCCTTTGGACAGGGGTCCCTGCGCCGAGAAGCTCCTGGTCTGGGGGAACACTGATGAGAAGGCCGACAGAGACAGAAAGACTTCCCCTGGAGCTGACACCCTGAATTTGGACTTCTAGCCTACTTTGACTGTGAGGAAATAAACTTCTCCTTGTTAAAGCCAAAAAAACAAAAGAGATTGCAGTGAAGCAGTCTGCTGGGACGGCACTTGAACTGCAGCATTCCGCTGGGGCTGGAGTGCTGCCAGGCTCACCCCCGTGGGTTAGCAGGCCTCACTTCCTCCCCACGTGGGCTGCTCACAACATGGCAGCCCCCACAGCCAGAGAGGGAGAGGACGGGCACCCAAGACAGAGGCCACAGTCTCTTTTAGAGCTTGATTTCAGAAGTGACGTGCAGTCACTTCTGCCATCTGCCATTGGCCACACCCACCATGTAGGCAGGTCCACACAAGGCTGAGAACACCAGGAGGCGGGCTCACTGGGGCCCTCCTGGAGGCTGCTCCCCCAGGTGAGCATAGAACGAGGCATAGGACCGAGTACGTGGGCGGATGATTCTGCCCTTGGTGTTCTGACATGGTGTGAGGAGCCCATTTCCACACATAACCAGCAGCTAGAAGGAGGTTCTTTGAGCTTGGCCCGCTGGATTTTTCTGCACGCCTGGCTGTGATGCCCTCGTTTAAACTGGCTGTAATCGGTGACTGCAGTTGCTTGTTTAGCGCGGTAGAGGGCAGTGTGCGTTCCACACTGGTAATCACTCGCATCTCTCTTGTTCCCGCAGCTCCCCTCTGGTCTGCTGTCCAGCGGCTCCGCTCCCAGAGCACGTCACCTCCACAAGGGTAATGCCAAACGCGGGCGCGGTGGCTGTGCTTTCGTTGGTGGGACTGGCTTTCTAAATTCAGAGCTTGGTGCATCAGGTTGTCAAGAATATTTAAATTTGGCTTTTTGATAGTATTTTCCTTGGGCCCTTTAAATACAGACAGCACTGCAAACACCCCAAGACAAAGGCGTTCCAGGCCTTACGTAGCTGTGGTTCATGGAGGGAAAACTGGTACTCCTGATCAGAAGTTTCTAACTAGGAGGGGAGAGCAGGAGGTTGCATCAGAATCTCGAGGAGGAACTGATGTGATTTGAAAAAGCACACTCAGTGTTAAAATGTTATACTTGGAAAAGAAAAAGAAGTTTAATATAAACAGCGGAAGTAAGTTTTGACAACATTTGATTCACTGGTGGGATTGCAAAAAAAAAAACAGTTGTGGTCAAGTCAACTCCCGGCAACCTCATTTTGCAGAGTAGAACTGTGCTCCATAGGGTTTTCAGCGGCTGATTTTTTTTGGAAGTAGATCGCCAGGCCTTTCTTCTGAGGTACCTCTGGGTGGGTTCGAACCTCCAACCTTTCGGTTAGCAGCTGAGCACTTAACCATTTGTGCCACCTGCAGGAGCAGTACAGGGTTTTAGCTGTGTGTAGGGAAACCCCCCAGGCCAGATCCCAGCTCTGCCACTTGCTGGCCAGGGACACTGAGCCAGGGGTTCAGCCTGCCTGGGCTTCGTGTCCTCTCTGCAAGCTGAAAGCGGCATCCGTATCACTCTCGGTGAGTTTTGGTGAGCATTTAGTAAATTCGTATGTTCAAGGAGCTTAGAACAGTGCCTGGCGTGGAGTGAGCGCTCAGAAAATGTCGGCTGTTGTTGCTGCTGCTTCCGCTGCAGCGAATCTCGGGAGCGGGAGAGGAGTCTCTTGGTCTCAGAAGGAGAAGCTGAGAAACTGAGTCAGAGCGCAGGAAGAAATCACAAGTGGGCATTTTAGTGGATTCTGCTTGTTTTGCCTGTTTCTCGTGTGAAGGTCCCGAGCCGCCACCAGGGCCCAGGTGTAGGTTTCCTCCTTTTCTCCGTCTTCAGCTGGGTCCTCCCAGGCCCAGCCGAGGAGGCCAGACCCCACCCAGGTCACCAGCCTCCTCCTGGTCACCGGCCCGTTGCCCTGCCACCGACCGAGGAGCCCGCGGGAACGCTCAGTTGCCACCACGATGAGAAGTGGTCATCCGCGGTCGGATTTGTGCTGAGACCTCCTGTGTGCCAGAGCCTGAGAGAGAGGCGGTCAGCTTTTCCTGCAGGCAGCTCGTTGGCTTTGTTTTTGTTGTGTTTTATGCCCCCCTGGAATAGAAAGACTGAAACTTCACTTTCTGGTGGCAGCCACAGCAAAAGCACCAACGGTCTGGATCCTGTGATTTGGGCTCTGCCTGCTCCTCCCCTCTCTGTAGGCACCTCGCTGTGGACCGACTGCATGACTTGGTCAGACCCTGTCCTTCCTACCCTTCTGAGCACGTCACCTCTTAGGGGTTTCGCACACCTTTTCCCATGAGTGTGACGTGCATCTGTAAAATCGGCTTCACAGATATGTTCCTAAGACATCCCTGAGTTCACCGCCTTGGCCAGAGATTGTGCTGCCCGACCCCGTGGAGGAGACAAAGCACCATGCAGGTAACAGACTTTACCGCGAGGCTGGCGCTCGAGCCGGCATCTGCGCCTCCAGCCAAGGTGCCCCCTGGCCCGGGTCGAGGAGTTCTGCCGCCGGGTGCTCTGGGACATAGCACGTTTCCTGCCAGTTGACACCAAAATGAAACGTGTGTTCACCTCGCAGATGGTCCCCGAGTACCTCCCATGCTCCAAGCAGGTACTAGGGTGAGGGCAGCCCTCCTGTCTGTTGGTAGAAGTGTGGGTTCAGAGGAAGACCCACCCCAAACACGAGAGCACCAGGCATGGTGGCCAGTGGGGCTGGCACATCCTCCTACTAGAGACACGGCAGGGCCCTTGGAGCCGTGTGACCTGTCGGCGTGTTAGGAGGAGAGCACAACCAGCAGCCCCCTCGGCCGTGAGCCTGTGCCAGACCTTCCGTTTTCGGAAAAGCTGGGAATCACGATTATCGTGTGGAATCCTCCAGTTTTATGATACTGCCTCGGACACAATGCAGGACAAAGGAGCGTGCTGTGGCAGGGCAGCCCTGCACCGCCCCGTGGCCATGAGCCGTATGCTGTGTCCATCGGGCCTGTGCTGCTGGGTGCAGCTATGGCCTCGGTGATGTGTCGGGGGCAGGGACGGTCACGCCCCCTGTGCCCTGCCCCAGGCCAGGCCCCTGCGCCGGTACACAGGGAGCGTCTGTCCCGAGGGTGAACAGCTCTGGTGGAAAGTTTGGGGCTGAGTCAGGGCAGCTACAGGGACACAGCCGGGAGTCCGAGCGGGCAGGGCATGGGCTAGAGTCCTTCCCGGCTAGTTCTATCCCGGGATAGAACTGTAGGTTTTCCTCGTGTGCTGAAGGCCTCCCTTTACTTCTAGGGTTTGACACCCCTCAGTCCTCCAGCTCTTTGTTAATAATAAGTGTGAGCCTAGCAAGGTAGAAGTTTTTCCCCCACCCCAGAAAGACAGCCCCAGATTCGTAGAGACGGAGCCACGTAGGCCGGGTGCGTGGGCCAGAGAACTGCGTGAGGGGTTCGGCACTCTGATACGCGGAGGGGCTTCGGTCTGTGCACGCCCCTCGTGGCGAGGTCCCGGTGTTCCCGGGATTGGGGTGGGCCCTGCCGTGCTCGGCACCAGTGCCACCCGTCCTCGGGTCAAGAGCTCGGCCGTCAGCCTGAGAGGGCGTGCCACCGTCACGTTAGCCCAGGACACTTCACGGAGCTCCTGGTCCGCGTGCGGAGAGCAGAGGGCTGCTCGGTGAGACCCCGCGGGGGCTCACTGTCCTTCTCGGCTCCCCCGCAGAGGTCGTGGGCAAGGTGAACGAGCTGATCGCCACGGGCCAGTACGGCAGGCTCTTTGCCGTGGTGCACTTCGCCGGCCACCAGTGGAAAGTGACCAGTGAGGACCTGATTTTGATTGAAAATGAGCTGGACGCCGCCTGTGGCGAGAGGATCCGCCTGGAGAAGGTAAGCTCGGGCGCAGCCCACCGCTCGGGGGTTCCCGCGTCCCTAAGGGAGGGACGGGAGAAGGAAGTGCGGGCGAGGCCACTGCACCCCGGGGGCACCCCGGAACCCACGGTGTTTCCTCCTTAGACAGAGACCGCCCGCCACGTTCCCTACAGAACGAAGCGCGTCTTCATGGTTTGCCTTCCACTCACCAACGTGCTCCCATAGGAAAACGTTTGACCCCGAGATACAGTAAACATCCCAGATAAGTACGGAAGGCATCTTTAAGCCCCCGTCAGGGGGAAGAGCTGGCCTTTCGGCCAGGACACTGTTCTGACGGTAGGTCTGGCTGCTGCAGCTGCTGGTTTCAACAGGGACTGTTTAGAGGCATTTCGAGCACCGATTCACCTCCCCGACCGGCCAGCACCCAGTGGTCTGTTGATTCAGCTGAGCCCTTCCACCCCTCGTCTGTTCCGCGTGCTCTGTGGGGTCGGCTTGATTTTTGCCTCCTCTATTTTCTGTTAATCAAGTTATGTATAAAATTATAACGATCTCTGCGATGAATGGTTTTTCTAGGATGTATTCAATCATTAACATGTATGACTATCGATTACAACTACTCCTCCCTCTGTGATGGTGAAGTCACCGCGTGTAGAGACCAGGGCGAGCACTGAACTGCGTCTCGAAGGCCCGTCCCGCAACCGGGGAGCTGAGCTCACTGGTTCTCTGAAGCCCCAGCTGCCAGTAGAGCAGGGACATCGGGGACCCTGTCACGCACACACAGGCCAGGGCACCCGCGTTTTTAATGTCCAAATACATAGAAGACTTCAGGGGTGTGTTTGTGAGGATTTTTTAAAAGACGTTATTTTGAGCCACGCCCTGTTAACAGAAAGCTTACAGGACGCCCACGTAACGCAGATGGCTTTGCGTTACTTAGGAAGCCAGTAACTAACAAAGAACGTGTCCTGCTGAAATCAGCTCTAGAGATTTCTATTATTATTCCTAGCTACTGTACATCGTCCATTGACATTCTATAAAATACACTCTGCCTTTAGACTTTGGCGTTGACTAGGAAGGGATTTTGTCCTCATCGGTAAAATTTAAGCCGGTCTCCTAGCGTCTAATGAGGAACCGGTTGCACTTGGAGTGAAAGCCGTTTTCCTCAGCAGCAGGGAAGCGTCTTCGTCATTTCCCCGACACAGAGAACGGCTGCCTGGCCGTCCGGAAGCTCGCAGCCATTCAGAGAGACAGCTGAGCCTGACTCTCGGCCGCACCAGCAGGGCCGTGAACTGCTGCAAAGGCCCCAGTTTCTGTAGGCGGTTCACGCAGTCAGCTGGGTGCAGAGCCACCGTGAAAAATAGTCATGTCTTTACACATCCCACCTCGGGAAGCCGGGGCCTGACCGTGAGAGCGCCCACGGTGTTCGGGACCACAACGCTGGACGCTTGCCTGCCCAGGTTTTTGATGTTAAAAGAAGAATTCATTACATAAATCGAATGCATATCAAAGTGTTTGCAGTACCAGCTAATCAGCTCCTTGCCCCTTTAGCAGTGTGGTCACGTGAGACGTTATCCTCACTGCCTGTCCTCAGACTGTTTTGTTACTGATTTGTCATGAGTCAGTGATTAAATAAAGGCTCCCATGTGATTTTTCAAGGTCCTGCTGGTTGGGTCTGACAACTTCACGTTACTTGGCAAGCCGCTCCTTGGGTACGTGCTGTTAGGTGACGGGCGTGGTCTCGGGCCTGGGGCTGGGGGTGCAGACCAAGGGGACAGTGCGGCTAGGCCGGGTGGGGGGTTCTGGTCCCACTCGCGGTAAAGGCACACCCAGCGCCTTCATACTTCAGAAGGTGGAGAGTACGGGTAAGCGCCCCCCGGAGGAGAGCGCGCGAGCCAGCTCGCTGGTGTTGTGGCCCTTTTAAGGCTGGCGGATTCCTCGGCACTCAGCTTCCTGCATGCTTTCGTAGTTTTCAGAATGTCCGCATTTACTCTAATAACCCGCAGAAAGGAAGGTAAAACTTCGCTTTAGACATCCTCCCATGAGGCGTGAGTAAAAGTGAAAAATAACGAGACGGTATATCATTGTCTCTTCTCCTTCCTTCCAGAAAGGATCTTGTTCGAGTAGAAGCCACAGTCGTTGAAAAGACAGAATCATGGCCAAAAGTCAATATGAAATTCAAGAGAAGGAAAAACTACAGGAGAAAAAGAAGTAAGTTAGCAAGAGCGTAGCAGGTATCCGTGGCATTGGTGTGTTTTGCTTGCTGTCCCGTGTCCTGCTCAGCCAGGCCGGGCGCTTCCCTACCCTCTGCCGGCTGCCGTTCGGGGTGGGGAGGCCCCTGGGTCTGTCAGGATTCCTTCTCAGCCGCACCAGGATGGTCGGGGAGGGTCTCTGGGAGCCTGCAGACACTGCCGCCAGGGCCGTGATGCAGACGACCCCTGTGGTTAGCTGAACACCCACCCGCACCGCGACCAGCAATTCTGCTCCACCCCAGCCAGACTCTCGCGCTCACGCACCATGAGATGCGGACGAGAATATCAGCAACAGCTTTGTTCACGGGAGCAAAAAGCTGGAAGTGCCTCCCCCAGCACCCGAGGCGCAGGGGTGGATTCGCTGAGCTAGACCCACTCAGTGTGTTCTCAAAGCTGCGCGGGGAATGAGCCGCAGCCATTACAGCCGTAACACAACAGTGTAGACAGGGCCCTGCAGCGTGAGGCGGGCGGCCTGATGGCATTCTGGTCCAGGCCACAGAAGCGAGGGAGCGTCAGGCTGTGGCTGTGACACAGGAGATACCACCCGGGCTCCTTGGTGGCCGAGACGGGGAAGCGAGGGCAGGTGGAGCGTATCCAGCTCTCTCCAGGCACAGGGGACTGGGGTGTCCGTCAAGTGTTTCTCATCCAACACCAACACACCCAGAGGGAGGGCAGGGGAAGGTGGGGTCTCGGGACAGGAGGCTCCGGGCCTGTCCTGCTCCGGCCCCCCGTAGCCCCTCCTCCTCCTCCCGTCCTGAGGGAGTTGTGACCCCAGGCTTGGCCGAAGCTCTCACTGTACCCCCGCGCTGCACTTCTGTTCCAGCCCTGGACACCTAGCATTACCCCCAAGGAAGCAGTTAATGGACATCCACGCGGGGAGTCCCCTCCAGCAGACATAGCCTGGGGGGCGGGGCATCCTCGGGGTGGCCCAGGGCCTGGCTAGCAACAGCGAGTGGATGTGGAGTCCTATCGTGGGCAGTGGCTATCACAATTCTTGTCTGCAAAAGTAACTGCCAGCCTGAACTACCAGTGTTGTAGTTAACTGTTGATGAGTCGGCCCCCTCCTCATGGGGACCCCACGCCCCAGGCTATGTCTCCTGGAGGGGCTGATTTTCAGAAGTCGATTGCCAGGCCTTTCTTCCTAGTCTATCTCAGTCAGGAAGCCCCGCTGAAACCTGTTCAGCATCACAGCAACTTGTAAGCCTCCCCTGATGGACGGGTGGTGGCTGCATGAGGTGCGTTGACCGGAAACTGATCCCAGGTCTCCCACGTGGAAGGCGAGAATCCTACCACTGCACCCCCGCTGCCCCTAACGTTAGCGGGGCGTAGTTAACATATACCTGGAACCATAGCATTGCCAACTATTACACTGCAACGTGAGTGAATTAGGGTCCCCTACAATGGCGGCTCCGTGTTACCCTAAAACCACTTTAGCGGGGAGCCTCTCCTAAACCTGGAAGCTTCCAGGTGGGCTCCAGGTAAACCCGGTGGAGGCTGTCCTACCCCAGGCAGGTGAGGTCACCAAGTGTGCGCTGTGAGGGGAAGGAAGGCTAGGTGCCAGGCCACGAGGGCTCGGGGCGTTCCAGTCTCTGCAGTAACGTCCAGGTAGCCACAGAGCTGATGTAGCTTGCACCGCGGGACACGTGGCACGGGGGACGGGAGCATCACAGGGAACTCGTGCCCTGCCCAGGTGACCTCGCCTTGCCAGGGGCTGGCGCTGCCTGCAGAGCGGGGCCTGGTGGACAGAGCGGGCCGTGTCTGCTCTGCGCCGCAGCCTGACAGCACAGAATTTGCCTCCAGCCTGTCACTGTGTTTTCTCTCTCCTACAGTTATTGTCACACCACAGACGGTGCTCCGAATAAACACCGTGGAGATCGCTCCCTGCTTGTTGTGACGGGAGCTCATGTTTACAGATGCACAAAAATAAACCCCTTTTCGCAGGAGACGGGGTTTGTGTTCCCTACAGGAAGCCGTGTGAGCCTGTTACGCGCGGTCGTTTACCTCAGCACCGTGGTGACAGGCCTGTTCTCAGCACACACCGCCTGCTCCTGGAGCCAGAGAAAACAGGACTCGGGGAAGAATTACAAGTGTGGCCGCTGAGGGTCTGCGTGCCTGCGGAAAAGACAGAATCGCGCTCTTGGCCATCTCCCCCCTCCCCTCCGGCTGGGCGTGGGGCACAGCTGGGACCAGGACCCACTGTCAAGAGAGGCGCCATCTAGACTTCATTTCTGGGCAAGATGAGCAGAACATGAGACTTCCATCCCCAAGTAATCGAAAAG